ACACAGGAAAGAAAGAAATACATGGCAAACCGCCCATGTGAAGACCTCCAGATCGATTGCTGGATGAGTTAAACGAGTTCGCTGGATCAAAATGGATAAGATTCGCAGTAAAATCTCTCTTGGATCCAATTCTGACGTGATCTGGTTCAGCGAAGGCCGGCTCTTGCAGAAACATCGCAGACTCACATCTGTGTTCTCACCCATTCGTTCCTCTTTGTGTTATCCTCAGCATGCACCCTTCAATGCTGCATTGCGTAGCTGTCATATTTTGGGTCCATGTTTCGTATCCGTTGGTCAACATTGTGGTCATACACTGCTCCAAAGCTTTAGTTGGACACACAGAAACAGTTTCTTATGCAAGAGCATCTTCCAAAAGTGTTCCATGCCACTTTTACCTTCCTGTTGATTTCATATAATTCATATTATCTCATGTTTATTTGAGCACATATTCCGCACTCCTACCGCAGGAATTGCATTATCGCAATGACAAGCTTTACGAAGTCGGTAGCAAAGCGAAAGTCGCATGGAGCACATTCGATAGACTAAAATTGTTGCTTACCAGGTGATCAATTGCCCTTATAATCGATCAATTCGTATGCGCATAACTTGTACAGATACGACCCGCCAGAACTTTCAGCATGGAAACTGTTTCGAAGCTCTGGCGATGTTATGCAAATGAATGTTATAGATAATGAGAAGAGATAAACAACAGACGAATGGATAAGAGAATGGATTAAAGCATAAAGGGGGGTCTGCAATCTCACTGCAACGGTGAAGAAATTTTAATGGAAATAGGCTAAATTCGCTGCAAAAAGTAGACCATTGCTTGACCAGAGTGATATTCGATTGCGTTCCAACAGGCGGCAAACAGACCGTTGAAAGATCTCTAGACTGATGAAAAGATGAATTAAGAATTTGCTTTGCGTAAGGTGGAGAAGACACTAAAATTAAGCCTTAATTTGAATTTCAAGGCTTAAAATTCGGTTAAGCCTCAGTTTTATTTAGCAGAAATTTTAAGGAAAATTTAAGCGATGCTTTAATCCAGCAGTGGATCAAAGTGGCCAAAGATTACTATATCTTAGCATAAAATAGGAATGGTGGACTTGCCAAGTGAAACGTTATGAAATGCAACATTGAAAGGTGGTCTGGTTGGCAGGGTACGGTGCGAATACGAGTGATAGTCCGGTTAACGGCAAGGATATTGTTCTGGTCGACGGTTTAAAAACTGCCATTGTTGTGGCAGCCGGCCCTGAGTATTGGAGTCATTCACACTGTGCAAGAATGCATGTCTTTTTCATTATTTTCAGAGGCTGTGCTAACATTATTATTTCGTTTCTCATTCGCTCTCTGCTATCCTCGTGCTTTGCCACTAAGAAGACAGAATGCTCAAACTTCTTGAAAATTGCCGCATGCTGAGAGTTATCCATCGCTGAGGTTGCCTATGTGCTTAGACTACTTTTCTTGTACCAATTCTGAGCAAACACAACTTGATTTGTTCAAAATCATCTAGTCGATATTATCACTTTCTAAAAAGTACTCAAATCTCAGTACCTTAATCAGGAATTAGTCGTATTTTGCAGATTCAAGTGAACAACGCGCTCGTATGTTACTTATCTAGTTAACCAGTGTTGTTATCCATATATTGTTATCCAGTGGCATTACCGGTGGAGTACTGCCTTGTTACTGGCGACCGTAGGAAGTGACATTCGTCGAACTCTGGTCATGATTCGAAACTGGCCAATCATCGCGATGCCAACCGCGACATGTTACCGATCAAGAGTCACTTGCGGCGGCCAGAGTATCTTTCTACACCTTAGGCCACACACAAGTGATCAATAATTAATCCGTGTAGCCGAAACCGGCCCAGCTGTCGTCGAGCATGTTCCTCCGTCAACTGTTGCGCTGATCGTAACGGCTTCGTGTAACCTCATATTGGTTATGAAACCGGACACGCTTATTCGCTACTACTCGGGAGACGTGTAGTCGATCGTGGTATGCTTGCTTGGGCGGTGAGGTTTAAGCCTGCTTTACGCCTCGTCATTTCGCCACTGTTTCAGTCAATACCTAGACGAGTGCTCCTTGACGTCCGCGTTGACGAGTCATGGGTTGATCTATCACTTCAGCTTTTCATTTCAGGAAACCTCCTTTTGTTCCTCACACCTCAGTGTCAGACTAATACTCGACCACAGCGATGTCGATGTCCAGCGGCGGCGTTGGTCCTTGCGTCTTCTGGGCCAGTCTCCTTCTTTGCTGGCGTCCGCAGCCGATCAGGGCCAACGTTAAGTACAGCCAGCGAGTCTTCGTCGATTCAAACGCCCTAGGCTTCGCCGACCCTTTGAAGCATGGCTTCCACGTGATCTTGTCCGACGAGTTCATCGCCTCCCACCTGCAGCCGACGCATCTACCAACGCTGTTCATCAGCGCCATTCCGTTGAACGACGCCGAAACCCGAGTGACGAAGTTGGCCTATCCGGAGAACATACAGGACGGCAAGCTGATCAGCATTTTTCACCTGCAGGTAAGAATCTCCACCGTACCTACAGTGAGATTCACTGCTTCCATGTACATCCACCGTGACATGTTCTGTGATAAACTTAAACAATGACACTTAGCTTCAAACATTCCTGATTGGTGTTGAAAATTGGATTTTTTACTACTCCATCCATATATGCTCTCGATTAGCTTTTGTACTATTGTAATGTCGATCACGGCTGACGTGCTATCAGTAGAACCTCGAGTTTCACTCGATGCGTGGAGGGAGGATGAGGTGGAAGGAGAAAGAGTGGCATTGTTTAAAGTCGTTTGGCTTTGCAACCTCGAGATGTCGGTTTGAACTAACTTTTCTAATTCACTACTAACTAATTTGAAAAGGGATTCACCCACTGTGCTTCCATGCAACCAGCTGAGGGACAAGTGGCAAGTAGCAACTCACTGACCTGCGAACAGCGGGAACTGCCTGACATCCTGATGTTTGTGTGGTCATGCTTGAGATTTCGAAACATACAAATATGACGTCTGATGTCTGCGCCCTACAGCTGCACTGTTTAGTGACTCACCTTATGGCAGACTGAATCATCACTAGCGTAACCAATAACTAGATGAAACTTAAATATGAAATTAAAATAGTATAAAGCCTGTCAGATCTTATATTCAGATTCACGGGATTCTCTTAGAAGGTCGGTGCGACTGGTTAGCTCTCCCAGCTTCCAAATACTCGATTCAAAGGCTTTCTCTGAGTTTGTTTAGGAGGCACTTGTAGCGTGCGGTTGTTTGGCCGTTCCGTCCAACTGTAGGGTGGCTTGGATATATCATTTCATCAGTATACATCCTATTGCCTGCTTTGTTTTCCTTTTCCAATTCAAGGCAGCGCATTTACACCGAAGTATTTTTGTGC